GGAGAAACGACGGATGAGGGGTGACATGATCAAGGTTTATAAGATTATGCATGGGCAGGGCTCTTTTTGTAGAAAAAGCCCAGCAGGAACTCATTAGCATAATAAGCCATACCCAACAGCAGAAACTCATTAATATATTAGGCCACACCCCTGATAGTACAGATATTTGCATATTAGGTCATACCCCCATGTTACCAGAAGTGTGGTCATCCAGCCACACCCACCTTTTGCTTCTTATTCTGTTTACCTTGTTTGTTGTCAAAACCCAGGGGTTTTTTTGTAGCAGGAACTCCTTTGCATGTTAGGCCACACACCCCTAATGTAGCCAATTCCAATGAGTTTCTGCTGTTGGGTGTGGCCTGTTATGCTAATGAACTCCTGCTGGGCGTGGCCAACTCAGGAGCCAGCCGGAACTCCATTCCTGTGCGTTCCTGCCCAAAAATAGCCCTGTGCATGGGATAGAGGAGGTAGAGAAAAAAGTATTTTTCTCCCTTTCTCATAATACAATAACTCATGGGCACGCAATGAAATTGCTGAACAGTCAGGTTAGAACAGATAAAAGGAAGTACTTTTTCACCCAAAGAGTGATTAACACATGGAATTCACTGCTACAGGAGGTGGTGGAAGCTACAAGTATGGACGGCTTCAAGAGGGAACTGGATAAACATATGGAGCAGAGGTCCATCAGTGGCTATTAGCCACAAGGTATAGATAGGAACTCTCAGTTTGGGGCAAGTGATGCTCTGTATTCTTGGTGCTTAGGGGGGCAACAGTGGGAGGGCTTCTAGTGTCCTGGCCCCACTGGTGGACCTCCTGATGGCACCTAGTATTTTTGGCCACTGTGTGACAGAGTGTTGGACTGGATGGGCCATTGGCTTCTCTTATGTTCTTATGACTTTTTCTGACATAACAATTTTCAAGGAAGGTCCACATACATGAAACAGAATCTCATGGAATTGTCCTAGAAAATGTGGCTGACTGGTTCTCATATATCATTTTTCGTTGGTGTTCTTCAAGATTGTTGACATGCCCCAATGTGGTTCTTAGCTTCCCCCACCTATATGGATGCATGTAACAACTTTACAAAGTGAAGGCGAAAATGTATGTGGAAGAGAATATTTTTGCAGTATGTCAAAGAATCAAATCAATTGAAGTGATACTTTAGAACTTGCATATGCGCACACAGACAATAGCAGAAAAGGTTTGATTGTTGGAAGTAAATCTGTAGTGTGGTATTTTTTGACCCAAACTATTCGTCTGGTCTATCATGCAGAAATGCTGGAATTCCCTGGTAATGCTTTGTAACACCAAATTCCTCTCAAATTCTATAACAGAGAAAGAGCTGGTGTTAAAAAACACAAAATATAATTCAATGCATGGAGTACTGTCTTTACAATCATAGCTCTTGCTATGGTTCCACTTCCTCACCTAGAAAGCTGTAAACCCTAAATGTTACAGAGAAATGTCTGAAGCAATATTTTTAATCTATGTGTATTTGACTGGTTTTTCTCTCAGTTTCTAATCTTCCTCCATTAATAGATTTTTTAAAAAATAATCCTCTCACTTAGGACAACAAAGGATACACTACCTAAAATGATAATTCTGGGCACCCAACCAAACTCTTGTAAACATTGATTTCAATACAAGAATTGAAGTAAACTCAATCATGTGATTTCCACTTTATTAATGGAAGAGATTATCTAACTGTACATTTGGACATTAGATACATAGTCTTCAATACTCTTTATTGCTTCTGCACTGATTTTATTCTTGGTAGTAAACAATATCTTGACCTTCTGCGTCTTTTCCTTCCAAAATGAGCTGAACAGAATGATATAAAGAATATATTGCTTTTATACCGTGCAGATGAAAATTCTAAAAAGGATCAGAGCAGAACATTTTCCCCTCCAAATATTAAACTATTACACTTACGGTGCGTTCAGACGGGGGCTTTGCAACGGTATAGGTGCTAGTTCCAACCGGTGCACTTACCGGCATTCACACGGCGAACATCTGCCTCCTGTCCCTAACCGTTGTAAAGGCCTTTAAACTGTTGTACTCTGCCACTAGATCCTCAAGTGGTGGTATCCTGAGTACAACGGTTGCAATTGTTGTACTCCTCTGTCTGATCGCTCTCCACTGGTGTCTAGCCACTTCCGTTCGGAAGCCTGAGGCTTCCGATTTTCCCCCGCCATTTTTTTTAACTGAGCGATGTGCGCTTGGGCGAAGCTTCACCCTGAGCATTTGTTTTTGTTGTTTTTTTTTTTTAAAAAAGCCCTTAGTGTAGCGTTTTGGAGGAGTCCGGGACTTCAAGGAGGCCAGTTTGGTCTTTAAACTTTAAAGGTAAATGTAACATGGGGTGTTTTGAGCATGCGCAAAGATCGCCATTCTGTGAATGGCTGCCTATGCGCATGCTCAAACTGAGTTAAAAAAAAAGCCGACGCCCGCAGCGTGTGAGCGGGTATACAGCGATGGGATCCGCAAACTGGAGGTAAGTGTGATCGCATTTCAGCCGGCATAAACTGCACCGGTTCCAACCGGTACAATGTATGCCGGCTGAAACGCCGCGTCTGAACGCACCCTTACTATTGCCAAGACTATGAGCAACAGTGTGGAGCTATAAAGAGAATATTGTGAAGATAAGCAGAAGGGATCATTTGAATCTTCCCTGCAATTAAAAGGCACAGTTCAATTATCAAAATGGGGCTCATCTGCATGGAGCAGATTGTTCTCATCAGTATAATAATGTAGTGTGTAAATTAAGATACTCCCTTATGTGTATGACTAATGATTACTGGGACAGACCTCCACTCATTGAGATGAGTTCACAAGAAACTAGAGCACACCAAGAAGTAGTACAATGTAAATTAGTGCATCACAGGATGTCTACAAATAATAATTAGGTTGCATTACAGCCGTCTGGCATGTCAGAACTACCATTTTAGCTCAATAAATATATCCTAGGATTAGGAGTATAAAACAGCACTTAATTTCTAGGACATTTCCTGCAAGCAGCATCCAAACAAGAAAAAAGTACTCAAAACTGATCAATCTGAGCACATCTACAACAGCAACTACTATGTACAGCTCCGTAATATGATCCCACAGATTAGCTATGAGGAACTGTGGTGGGGGACTAAATCTAGCACTTCATTATTCCTCCTGAATGGTGCACAGTAAAAGCTAAAGGCTCAGGTTTAAGTTTAACTAGATAACGCAGCCATCATGGGAAGATTTCTGTTTTTATGTGATGTATTTGTTTGTTTATACTAATTACCTCATTCATTTGGCATGTTGAGTTTATTCATTTAAAATATTTCTATGACATCTCTTCAGCATTCTGCTTGAAGTGGCTTACAATTAAAATAGTGTAACATAAAACAACAAGCTATTACAAGCAAGCCATTGGACATGAACAGCATAAAAACTATCCATAGAACAGATCTGGTAAAAGCTGGTGAAATAAAATACCGAATTAAAATCCTGTATAAAAGAATATGTTTTGGCCTGGCATGTAGAAGACTGTAAAACAGGTGCCAGGGGAACCTCAAGGGGAAGGGTGTTTCAGCTGGTAGTCTGCCACTTCATCAGAAATATATCTTAAAAATTCCATGATAATTTCATGTAATCTTTTTGACCTGCTGCAGCAAGAAGACAGGTTGTAATATATTCCCAGGGAAGAAGGCTTTGGGTATTGGCAGGCAAATATTTTTTATTCTAAAGCATCTGAAGGAATAGAAACTATCTACCAATGTTTTTATTACAGCCTTCTAAGTAGAGTTACAGACTTCTGAGATCATAAGACTCTGCTTAGTTTGGTACTTTAGGTCTATGAGTTTGATACTTTAAGTCTATGGTTCTCCTTTCAAAGCAGTGGCTTCTACAACTTCCTTTAGGGACCTTGCAATGACTTATGGGATATGAAACTGCTAGAGTTCTGAGACAGAAAACATATCACACCATGGAACGTAGTTTAATATTTGCAATGATCAACACTTGTGAGATGTATTCATGCCACACATCACAATACCAGAGTGAGCCAGGTTCAAATCCTCACCCTTGCAATTCTCACAAACCTTAGAGGGTGATCTTGGGCCACTAATTCTCAGCCTAAACCACTCATAGGGTTATTGTGAGATGAAGAGTGATCATGTGCACTGTCCTGAGCTACTTGGAGAAAGTGTGGTATATGTAAAAACATTAGTTTACAGTCATTTCACACACAGTATACATGCAGATGTACACAATTCCCCCATCGATTTATGAAAACATGGAGCTTCTATACATACATCACCCCAGCTGAACTGGAGTGATTACGTTCACAAAGAAGTTATTAGAAGAACCAATTCTGGACAAGATATTGTCTTCCATGAAACATATAAAACTAATTATACTTCATCTGATAAACAATCAAACTTAGTATTTACTGAGAGAAATGTAGCTCAAATTAAATATTTACATTTATTTTTTGACATTTCAAGGCAAGTTTCATATTCTTTGGTAGCCACGTATTATTTTGTTTTGCTTAGGGACTCACAAGTTTTTAGGAACATACCGTATATTTCTTAGAAATTGAACTAGACTGCAGAAGCTTAAGCAGAAGTAGAATTTGGTTTATCACATATAGGGTGAATTTGACCAACAGCATTCTGAAGGCATCACTTTAATCCAAAATAATTGGATCATGGCTTTAAAGTATTTTAACACATACACCAGAGTTGCTGTAACAGAAACTTAATTTGCATAGTTAGTTAGTTAGTGAAAGGGATCATGCCACTGTACCACCTAATTAGCTCAAGTATTAATATGAGGTATACGTATAGTATAATGTCAACCCTGGTATGTTATAGTCTCTTGATTAATTTCTCTCAATTCTTATCACTTACAGGCATATTTACTGCTAGGCTGTAATTAAGATGGGTTTATAGACATTAATTCTTTTAAAAAAACTTAAAAAGAAAAAGAGGGGAAAGGCTCAAGAACATTCCGAAGGGACCTACTTTCGGGATTACTTGTACTGTGCACACTGACAACTGGAACATCAGGTCCTATAAGAGGAAGAAAGCACAATAGTTATTAAAGATAAAATTTATTGATACAGCTTATTCAGTACTTCAGTAAAGAGCAAGAATCTTTGGATGTGCATTAACAGCTCTGCCCTCAATTCTCAAAACAATTAACAGATGTGCCTTAATACTAAGCACATGAGTAGTCTCCATAATGCCGACACATCAATAGGATAGTCTCATGGGGAATGCTACAAGTCTGTGGCACTATTATTATTATCTCAATTTTACAGTTGAGAAATTGACACACAGAGCGATTAATAGTCTGATTATAAAAAAGTACAGAGCACCTGCAGCTACTGTTAGATCAAAAGAGAATGGAGAGTACTCAGCACTTTTCAAAGTCATTTGGAAGATGTTTGAGGATTGTCAAAGACTGCACAAGAAATGTGACTTCCTCTACAATCCAAGGCCAGAGCCATTTACATGTAAATAACAGAACACTTAACTGGATATTCTTTGAAGTTTGTCCTGCAGCAGCTGCCAGCACTTAACAGGAAAGTTGGCCCTATGGACAGACAGCTGCAGCTGCTGCAGAGAAACACCAAAGAAAGTTTCAACTGAGTGTAGATATGACTGCATGGGATCATGGCCTAAAGCATCAAACAACCATCTTCCTTCTTTTTTACTTTATTCTTGTTGCCTTTGTCACAATGCAGTCTCAGGATACTTACTCTGAAAGTCTTGACTTACTCTGGAGTAAAATTACTGTAGAAAATTATACTTCTGGGGGAAAAGGTTTGCCACTGCATTGGACAGCCAGTTTATATGAATGAATCATGGGAAAAGATTAATGTGAGCCAAGCCGGGGGAAATTCAACCAGAGGTATCAGTACAAGCCAGCTTACACTAACCTTACCTCCTGTGGTTGTATACCCACTTTTAGGTAGTTTGTTAAGAATTTCAGTCAGAAGTGGCCTGAAGCATCTTCATATATATGTGTGCACCATCATAACACAAATTATACAGACAGGTTTTAGATACAGTATTGTTACTGCAAAGCCAGGGCAACAGAGTCAGTGTGGTAGATCCAACCGTTTCCCAAGTAGCGTTCCTCCGGCCTCCAGTTGGAGGAAAACTCCTTAGATGGGGTAAAGCTCAAACTGCCTACCACAAAGTTGTGATGTAACATCAAACCATGCATCCAACACACACACACACACAAACCCCTTCAACACCCACAAATTAAGGGAGGGAGGGAAGGCTGAGATAACTGACTGCGGACTCCACAGAGGGGCCTGGCTAACAGTGGTCCAGGTGGAGATGGAGCATCATCCTTCTGGTCTGCCCAGGCAGTCCTACCCCAAGCTTCCAGGTACCCCAAAGGTCATCTAGTCCAACCCCCTTTACAATGCAGGAAACTCACAGCTAGCTCCTCCATACTCCCCAGTGATGCCTGCTCTATGCCCTGAGAAATGCGAAAAACCTCCAGGATCCCTGGACCAATCTGGCCTGGAGGAAAATTCCTTCCTGACCCCAAAGTGGCAATCAGCATTACCCTGGGCATATAAGAAAGGGCCACAACAGCAGAGCACTGGCTCATCCCTTCCTGCCCTTCCTCATGATCCGCCTAAATTAATAGAATCATCCTTACTGTCAGGTGGCCATCTAGACTCTGTGTAAATCCCCCCCAAAAGAAGAGCCCACCACCTCCCAAAGAAGCCTGTTCCACTGGGGAACTACTCTAACTGTCAGGGAATTCTTCCTAATGTTTAGCCCAAAATTCTTTTGATTTAATTTCAACCTGTTTGTTCTGGTCTGATCTTCTGGGATAACAAAATACACCTCTGCTCCATCCTCTATATAGCAGCTCTTCAAATACTTGAAAATAGATATCATATTACCTCTCAATTCTCTCCCGGCTAAACATACCCATCTGCTTCAGCCTTTCCTCATAGGACGGTCTCCAGACCCCTCAACATCTTTGCTGCCCTCCTCTGGACACGTTCCAGCTTATCAATATCCTTCTTAAACTGTGGTGCCCAAAACTGACTACAGTTCTCTAAACAGAGCAGACTAAAGTGACACTATCACTTTGTGTGATCTGGACTCTATACTTCTGTGGATACAGCTAAAAATTGCATTTGTCGTTTCAGCTACCACATCACACTGCTGACTCATGTTCAGTTCATGATCTATTAGGACCCCTAGATCCTTTACACATGTGCTACTATCAAGATAAGGCTTCTGCAGCATCCTGCCCTCCATGCCACCCAGGTAAATTCTGGGAGCCTTGCTTCAAGAAACAAACAAACTTTGCACATTAAAGTGGTAGCATAGGAATAGGATTGAAGGGTTTTTTTAAAACCCACAAGAGATCCTAATCATGGGACTTTCAATTTTATTTTATTAATAAGAAAGCAGCATGACAGGTGCATGCATGAAAATGGATTGTGTGCGCGATTGAATTAGGCGTTCAGCTGCACTTTGGGTAAATGAATGAGTCGGCAAATTGCTGCATAATCTCAATCGGTGGGAGTTCAGGCATCTCTACTCTTTATGTAAGAATGTAAGAAGCACTATGACATAACGAATCACTAATGAACTGCTGTCTGTCTGTCTGTATCAAAATAGCATTCTGTATGGTTTATTAGGGAACTTTCCTTTCTATTGTTGTACAACACTTGGAACAGAATAGTGTCTTACACAATTGAAATTGTGCTGTTTAAAAAGATCTGAACACTTTCAATGTTAAATTGAGGATTCTGACTTACCTTTACATTGCAGAATGAAATACTTGTTTGTAGGGCTAAACTTTGCATTGAAATAGGTGCAGTTATCTTTCATAAAACTGCATGAAAGGCACTGACGATTCAGTAGTTCAAATGTTGACACACTGTAGTTGTGGAGGGGAAATTGAGCAAGTAACCATTAAGTTAATATGCTTTCAATAAATACATCATTATGCAGTTGGATCATGTGCATACTTTCCAGAACTGTTAAGAACAACATATCCTGTACCAGTGTCTGAAGTCAGTAAAGAATAAGGGTGTGCACACATACACAGAATTGAAGATTTTTCAGATTCAGATATATGGGACCCAACCCAAAATTTGGGATTCCTGAAAAACCCCAAATTCCAATACCAGTATGGTATTTGGATTCAGAGGGTTTTTTTTTCCAGAATCCCCCCCTCCTTTTGCTCCCAATGAGACCATTACAGTCAAAGGGAAATCTATCTGGGGGTATCCAGGGGTCGGGGGGGGGGCTGGTTTTTTTTAGGTAAAGGCACCAAATTTCCAGCATAGCTTCTTGTGCCTCTCCTGAAAAGACCTCTCAAGTTTCAAATATATTGGACCATGGGGTCTAATTCTATGGACCTCCAAAGAAGGTGCCCCCATACTCCATTGTTTCCAAATGGTGGGGAAACCACACATGCACAAAAACAAGGACTGATGTCAAAACAGAGAAATTTAAAAGTAGAAGTAGAAACTGAAGGGGGGGGGGTCTAAGCCCTGCAGAACAAGTGCATGTAGAGTGTCCAGCAGAACCAGGGGCACTGTGGCAATTCCAGCTAA